CTATTCTATTCTATTCTATTCTATTCTATTCTATTCTATTCTAGATAAGTGGCTGATATATGGGAACACTGTTATCATGTCACCCGTAGTCCTTCTTTTCACTAGATTAGCCATGCCCAGTTCCTGCAACCGTTCTTCATGTTTTAGTCTCCAGTCCCCTAATCATGTTTGTTGCTCTTCTCTGCACTCTTTCTAGAGTCTCCACATCTTTTTTTACATGGCAGTGGCCAAAACTGCATGCAGTATTCCAAGTGTGGCCTTACCAAGATATTATAGACAGGTCATTTTAAAGGATGATGATAATAATAATAATTAATAGATAATAATAGATAATAATTATTAAATGTATGTGACGCCTTTCAAAAAGTCTCAGTGACTGGGTAGTTTTTTATTTTTTTTATTGATCAATTTGGTGCCATCCAGAACATTTCCTACTGCTTGCAACCACAACATTAGATTTTCTCCATAACTGGGCCCGCTTGCAAATTGTTAAAAGCATTTAAAAGCAAGAATACAAGAAAAACAAAAGAAACAAAGCCGGCTGCAAAATACAAACCAGGATGAGAGCAAGAAAAAGAGACATTAATTGTTCTGGCTTGTAAGCCCTTAGATTCCTGTATATGAATATGATGTGAGGAAACTTCCTTTGATGGCTGAGAAGATATATTTTAAAAATAAAAGGAGCCACTCCCAGCTGGGATCAAGAGCAGCTCAGCATCCCCAAACCATAAGATTTTTAAAATGTGGGGAAAAAATAAATGCAATGAAACTGGAATGCTCAGCCATGATGGGGTTCTGCTTGCCACATTTCTCCTAAGGATACTGGAATATAAAGGTAAAGGTTCCCCTCGCACATATGTGCTAGTCGTTCCCAACTCTAGGGGGCGGTGCTCATCTCCATTTCAAAGCTGAAGAGCCAGCACTGTCCGAAGACGTCTCCGTGGTCATGTGGCCAGCCTGACTAAATGCCGAAGGCACATGGAACGCTGTTACCTTGCCCACCAAAGGTGGTCCCTATTTTTCAACTTGTATTTTTTACGTGCTTTGGCAGAAGCTGGGACAAGTAACAGGAGCTCACTCCGCTATGCAGTGCTAGGGATTCAAACTGCCAACCTTTCTGATTGACAAGTTCAGCATCTTAGCCACTGAGCCACCGCATCCCTTGGAATTGAGTATGTCTAGTTTAACGAAAAGGACTAGGGGAAACATAATAGCAGTGTTCCAATATCTCATCGGTTGCCACAAAGAAAAGGGAATCAAATTGTTCCAAAGCACCTGAAGGCAGTACAAGAAGCAATGGGTGGAAACTAATCAAGGCGAGAAGCAACTTGGAACTAAGGAGAAATCTCTTGACAGGTAGAACAATTAATCAGAACAATTGCCTCCAGAAGTTGTGAATGCTCTAACACTGAAAGTTTTTAAGATGTCGGATAACCATTTGTCTGAAGTGGTGCAGGGTTTCCTGCCTGAGCAGGGGGTTGGACTAGAAGACCTCCAAGATCCCTCCCAACTCTGTTATTCTATTCTTCTTCAACATGCCAGTCAAGCTGAAAAGTGTCCCTCTACTGGAATATATATATTGAAGATGTGCAGACTTCCAACTCCCAGAATTCCCCAAATGGCATGCAAAAGTTTGCCAGCAGATGCCCGCACTGGTTGAAAAACTGCTCTCGTCCCTAGAATGGTCATCTGAGAATCCCAGCGGCTGTGGCTTCTGGTTTTTGGTGGCGAGGTTCGGTCCCATTTTCACTTCTCATTCAAAGTGACAGCTTCGCTATTGGAATTCCTGTTTCTCCTTTGGGGCTTTCCCATTTGACTTGCTAATTCAGACGAACAGGATAATAGTCTTTTGACTCCAGCTTTAGAAGACCAATATTTTTTTTAAAAAAATAACATTTATCTCTGAACATAACACAACCTTTGATTCCAGGAAGTAGCCTCTTTCCATCCAAAACTGAAGAATTCTCCTCTCATTTAGTTCAGTTGCTAAGCATCCCATATACCAGAAATTGCTCCCTGGTTTAGTAAAAATCTAAGTATGAATCATATCTACCAAAATACAACAGTAAAGGTTTCTAACAGTATATCCCGTTTTGCAAGGCAAGTTATAGAAGCCAGAAGCAGAAAATCTTGGCAAGGATGCCAGATGTTCAATGTTTACGAAAGAAGCCATTTCCTCTAACTTAATGCAATAGGTTGAATTTTCTCTCTCAACATCCCCAACGCTCTTACAAACTGTACTTACGTTAAATTATAGAAAAGTTTCCACTGCCGTTCTGGCAACATAATGCGAACTGATGGATTTCTGCCCGGATACCTTCCTCAGCAAATACCTCAAAAAAAAAAAAAGTGCAAGATTTGGTCTTCAAACCTGCATTTTTCACTTCGCAATCCAGGATCCGACTTCAGCAGGCTGAGGAATACAGGGTTTTTTTTACACCAAGTCCCCACCCTTTTCGTCCTTTTTGCAAACCGGCTTGGCTGACAAACAGCAACACATCTCAGAAGAGAACTGGAAGAAATCCAGAATGCAGGAAGGAGTCTAATGCGAAAAACATTTTGAAAACAAGGGAACGGAGAGACTTCCTTTCTAGACTAGCTTGGAAGCCATTCAAGACAAACCCCAGATAAGCCATCGCAATAAACTGGAGAGACACACAAATATGACAACGTGAACTTAAGGGGGAAAGAGGAGGGTATTTTAGTTGAATACACTGTTGGAAGAAATGTCCATCTGGGTTCAGTTGCAAATGGGGAGGAAAGACACTGGAAACACAGAAGCTACTTGGAAAGATGGTTTAATGGTGGACAGGACCACATGGCTTGAGATCCTGGGCAAAAAGGGAAGAGATGCTGAGAGTTCCTGGATTTTATGCCCTCTCTGGGCTTTTGAATTTGAGCTTGTATTCTGATTGGTTGTCAGACTCCCATGGGGCCATGCAGGGATAACTTTGTAGGTTGTCTGTGTCCCAGACTTGGTTGAGCCTTGCTGGGTGATGAATGATGTAATGAAGGGGCTTTGGTCAATTCCTATTATGTCTCTGCCTGAAGGACATCGATTTTTGTTATGTAGAATAGACTGGCTCAGGCTTTAATGGCCCATTGACAAAGGTGGGAGGTGGGGGTTGAGTTTCTGCCCCCCTTTTAGGGAGAAATATTCTTCCTTTTTAATATTTCCTAAAGTATCTTCTTCCTAGGAGAGGGGTGGGTGCTAACTTCTTACAACCTGAAACTGGGCTTGGCAAATCAAAAATCAGGTTCATTTTAATTGAATAAACTTCCTCCTTGTTAAACTTCCAATATTTTCCCTTCTTGACTGCAGCAAGATGCTATCTCCCATGTGACTTCTTGCCAAGTCTAAATTCTCATTTCCTGCTTTTTCTGGTCCTCCGTAGGGAAGCAAGGAGGGGGGGGGGGAGAGAACTGGCAAACATGGGTGGGCAGCTTTTTTAAGTCTATAGATGTCAGATCACTGATGGCAAATCTGGACCATCCTGCGGTGTCAAGGCTAGTTATATGAGTATGTTTTGTATGTTTTATAGGGGTATGTCCTGTTTCAATGCAACAGTCAACTTTGCCCGCCCACCCCCATATTTTTGGCATGTGTGGCTAGAGAAGACTTCAGAACCACAAAAAAAGGGGTTTTGAACAATGGACACAGCCTGCTGGCTTCTTTTCATCATTTCTTCACCAGTTACTCTACTTCTGATCAAAAGAAAATATTTGTAATTCATGTGGGATCCTTGACGCTCTATGAGTTGGATTATTTTCTTGAAGACGTTTCGTTACCAAGCCAGATAATGTCATCAGCGCTAAAGGGAAGTGGGGTTTGCTGTCGGTCAGTGTTGGCGAACCTTTTCGGCGACTGAGTGCCGAAACAGGAGCGTGTGCGCCGGGGAGCACCAGGAAACGGAAGAGCAGCTTCCCCCGGTGTGCATGTGCTTATGAAAATTACGAATTTAGTGGTCCCCGGAGGTCCGAAAAGTTGGTGACGCCTAGAGGGTTTGTCGTGATTGGGGAGATGGTCTGAACCGGAACGATCACGAAAGCAGGAGAGTCAGTGAAAAGACCAAAGGAAACCCACGCAAACTGCAAGCCCTCGCAGGGCAAACGTTTTGTGCGTGCGGCTGTCTCTTTAATGCGTCCTGGCTTCCAACACTGAAAGACCCTCATCGTCCGATTCATATTACAGCATCATTTGAGAAAGGTATTTACACATCGGCAGCCCTCTCCCCACGGTCCCCCTCCCTCTGCCCTAAGGCGGAAAAAAAACAGCGAAACGATTTGCCTGGGGCTCTCCACCCCACCCCACCCGGACTCCTCCCATTGCAAGCATGTAGCCTTAGGATGGACAGGTGTCAGGGGAAGAGCAAAGGAGGGGGCAAAACAAAAATCCCCTGATGTTTTCCGATTGGTTCAAATCCCTGATAAAACAGCAGGCCCCGAGGTGGCCTGACATTTGCGCTCAGGAGCGCAGCTTAAAACCGCTTCATCTGCCGGCGTTCTTGCCGGCGCTGTTTCTTCTCGTTGGGCTCTTGGTTGGCAGCCGGTGATTCCGCGGTGAGCCAAGGACCCAGAAGGTTAACCCAAAGGAGATAGAGCGCTCGCCCCGGAGCCTGCAAGAGGGAACAAAAAACAGGGAGTCCTACTAAGGCATGCCGCAAGCAAAGTTGCTACAGCTGAGCATCAGGCAAAAAAAGCCCGGCTCAGGTTTTGGTAGTTAAGGAATTACATCCCATTTCGCAATCGCAATAAGACTTATATACCGCTTTACAGTGCTTCTACAGCCCTAAGTGGTTTACAAAGTCAGCCTCGTGCCCCCAACCACCTGGGTCCTCATTTTACCCACCTCGGAAGGATGGAAGGCTGAGTCAGGGGCAATAGCAATAGCATTTAGACTTATATACCGCTTTACAGTGCTTCTACAGCCCTAAGTGATTTACAAAGTCAGCTTCGTGCCCGCAACCGCCTGCGACCTCATTTTACCCACCTCGGAAGGATGGAAGGCTGAGTCAGGGGCAATAGCAATAGCATTTAGACTTATATACCGCTTTACAGTGCTTCTACAGCCCTAAGTGGTTTACAAAGTCAGCCTCGTGCCCCCAACCACCTGGGTCCTCATTTTACCCACCTCGGAAGGATGGAAGGCTGAGTCAGGGGCAATAGCAATAGCATTTAGACTTATATACCGCTTTACAGTGCTTCTACAGCCCTAAGTGGTTTACAAAGTCAGCCTCGTGCCCCCAACCACCTGGGTCCTCATTTTACCCACCTCGGAAGGATGGAAGGCTGAGTCAGGGGCAATAGCAATAGCATTTAGACTTATATACCGTTTTACAGCTCTCTTCAAGTGGTTTACAGAGTTAGCATATTCCCCCCCCCCCCCAACAATCTGGGTCTTCACAACCAGCGAACCTGCTGCTAAAGTTCACCTCTGGGAACAGCTGATTGGGGGTATCCTGCGAGGCTGATCCACCCGCCAATCAGCTGCTCATGCTGAATTGGGCTAATGTGCTGAAGCTGAGAAGGCTATTTGCTAAGGACAGTAGCCAGAGGAAAAACCAATGGATGCTGGTAGGCAGAGGCAGAATTTTTTTTTTCTTATTTTCCTTCCCAAAAACTAAGGTGCGTCTGCTTATTCCGGAGCATTTTATATTCCGAAAAATACAGTAGCTGGAAAGAGGAAGAATGCACGGTGGACAAATAAGTAAGAAAAGAAACTTACCAAGAGCCAAAAGTACCACATATAGAGGGAAAAACAACTGAGCACTTGGACAATGGCGGTAAGCAAAATCATATCCTTCAGATGCCTGAGGGTGGAAAGAAAAAAAGGCTGATTTTTATTAGAGCAGAAGATCAAAGTCTCAGCGTCTTCTATTGTTCTCCAACGTTCCATTCCAGAAATGAAAAGGACTGGCTTAAAAAAGGTACGGAGGATCAAAAATGTAGACTGTGCCTGAACAGGATTGACTTGGGAAGAGAGAGAAAAGCACTACAACCGTCTGGTTAAAAGACAGAGAAGAGGCTTGGCCTCAAGTTATGCTAAGAAATCATGGATTTGCTGACCAGTTTCTGGATTATTGCGATCCGTTTGAGATAGCAATAGCACTTAAGACATATACCACTTCACAGTGCTTCACAGCCCTCTCTAAGCGGTTGACAGAGTCAGCCTATGGCCCCCAACAATCTGGGTCCTCATTTTACCCACCTCGGAAGGATGGAAGGCTGAGTCAATCTTGAGCCTGGTGGGATTTGAACTGCTAGCAGTCTGCAGAAGTAGCCTGCAGTACTGCACTCTAACCACCCTGGCTCTATTATTGTTAACAATTGAAAGCAAACAGTGTTGAATAAAGTCCTAGGAAGAATGGTTTAGGGACCATTAAGGAATGATGAATCTGGAGAAAACTACAGGCAGTCGTCCGCTTACAACCCTAAATTTAGTAACTTTGAGTTGCAACGGCATTGAAAAAAGTGAGTTGCAGTTTGTCTTCAAACTTATGATCACTGCATCCCAACAGTTGTGTGACCCAAATTTGGGCACTTGGCAACCGGTATGCATTTACAACTGTAGGATCCCAGGAAGGGTTTACCCACAAAACCGCGCCCGACTAAACCGCGCCCGACTAAACCGTGTCGCTGACGTCATCAACAGGGCGACAACAGCGCGGAGACAGAAGCACGCTGTAAACCCTAAAACTAAAATTAACCCCTAAACCTAAACCTAACCCCCTAAACCTAAACCTAACCTTTAACCTAACCATAAACCTACCCCTTAACCTAACCATAAACCTAAC